CGTAACGAATAATAGAATTGACGAAACAATTTTTTGCGACAAAGTATATAGCTTGTGAAATTTAATATTTAAATAATAAACTTTACATTGAGAAGATAATTTTTCGAACAATAATAATATTTCTTGCTACACTATCGCAATTATAAATTTATTATACGATCAAATAAAAAAAAAAAAAAAAAACTAAAAAAAAACAAAACACAAAAGAAAGAAAATAAAAATAAAAATAAAACGTTACTGTGTATACGAATATCGGAAAGAAAGATAAGTGTGCGAGAGGCAAAGGGACGATGAATGAACGAAGAGAGGCAGACGCTTCTTCATCGTAGCACACGTCGTCACACCTGACGTCACATACTAGTTAGGGTGCAGATGGCCCCCCTCTCAAGCGTGACGTTAGGCCCCTACGATGGGGTACCTGGCAGCGTCTAGCAATATGCTTCTTTCCCTCCATTACCCTGTCCCCTCCTTCTGCTACTTCTTTGCTCTCTTTCTTTTCTTTTCTCTCTTTCACTCCCTTTTACTAGCACACAGCCGCAGCTGCTCAGGTAGCACGAGCTACTTCCACATTTACGACGATGGAACTCGTTTAAGAGTTTCGTGGGGTACTACGAAGGCCCCCCCATTGAAATTCCAACCAACATGGACTGACTAACACGCTTCGAGAGTTCCTTCGATAGTGCGTGCATGCGCACGCGAGCAAGAATATCGCCTTAACACATTCAGGGATACGTCATCCAGATCTAAGTGACGACTATCTTTTCGTGAAAGCCCCGTCAACCAAAATTGAATGACACTTCTTTTAGTTTTATTTATATATATCGTTGGTTAGTAACTTTGAACAATTTATACGTTTCAAATGAAAATATTTAATAGTAGTAATTATATCGTATATTAGTTGTACCAATTAATTCGATGACCTTTTAATAAATCTTATATTTGTTCATAAAGTAACCGTATATCTGTTATTCTTCGAAATAGTCTTCATTACTTTCGTCTAGTTTAAAATGAGAAAAATAAACTATTGATTAGAAATATTCATTTATATATTTTGAATAAAAGTTTAAAATAATTGTATGAGTAATGATTGTAACACATGTCAAGACTAGCAGTCATTTTAGCTATCATGGTAGATCTATTGTTAATTATAAGTAATAATATTAAAATTGGGTTTAGCTTTTTCACGTTACGAACGGCGAGAATTTGTATCTCCAATAAACAAACACGATTTACGATAGACGATTAATGCGTTAACTCAAAACTAATTATATACTCTCTTCTACACTTTTAGATCGATTTTGTTTCTAACTTTTTTCAGCAAAATATAATATTTTTAACAAACATTATCGTGATATCATTCTCGATTATGTAAATAAAAAAACAATCTAAAGTAATTGTTTGTATTTTTTCAACTAAAATATTTATTTTGATGTATTTTCTTTGTTTATTTCTTTTTCTCATACGTTAAACCACAAAAAATCATACAATCAAAACGGCTATTAGCAAATAGAAAAAAGAACGGAGAGAAACTTTATTTAATCTACAATCGATAGGAACGATGATGGATTTGCAAGGTGCGAAATTTGTATGATCGTAAAGTCGCATCAAATTGCACCAATAAAATAGCAATTCGATCGTTATAATAACGGATGTTATAATGGTGATAACGATCATAAATTAGGAATGATCAATTTTGAACAGGAAAGGAGGGATTTGTCTGATTGCGGATAAAATGTTTTCTGAAGATTTACAAGGTGATAAAAGAGCCTCGTGGTTCGACCACATTGTCCGACATGTTATTTGACACAAAGTGGTCAAGGCCTTGTAAACGTCTTCTATGCATTCCGATAATGAGTGGACGGTCGTCTTTTTTCTATAGTAAACGTCTCGAAAGAGCTATTTGTCGAGTCTCGTAAACCTATTTTGTTAATTCTCAGCATGGGTCTTCCGGTTTTTCCGCTTAGGGGTTTGCGGGGGCGTTTCGTGTTGTAAACACAATATCTCAACCGTAAAACCAGTTTTCCTCGAGTTTACGTCTACGTTCTAATGCATAGACATTCTTGTTTTCGCGTTGCTCCTTGGCAGCCAGCTGAACTTTTGCGGAACTTTCATTTCACACCTGGATGAACCCTCTTTACCGGTAATTGGGCTCTATGTTAAGAATTTATCGCGTATGTCTTCTTATAACGGGAAAATATTATCGAGCAATTTACTCGAATCCTATTCTTCCTCTCTCTCTCTCTCTCTCTCTCTCTCTTTTTTGTGCGATCAAATTGAAAAAGACGAGCCCTTTTCCTCTGACAACAGTTTCCAATTTGAGATCAAATAGAGCAAGCAGATTGCGGCTCTCTATCCATGATATATCCGGCCCCAATTTCAAGAGTCTCGTGTCTAACGGGAGATTAATAGTATTAATAACAAACGGTCGGAGTTTAAGAACCGTTGAGGAGCGAAAAAGAGCGGCATTAACATCGCCTTTCGACCGATCCGGTACAATGACTTCGAAACATATGTCGAACGAACGTGCTCGCCTATTTTCCCTTTTTTTTTCTCATTCTTCTTTCCTTCTCTCCTCCTACGTTCGCTCTATTTCGACGCTTCGCATCGTGATGCGTTATTAACGGACCTTCAGAGAACAAATTCTACAAGATAGACGAGGTTGAGTAAGAAATAGAGAAAAAGAAAGAGTAAGAATGAAAGAGAAAGATAAAGAGAAAGAGATAAAGAGAGAATCTGTTTTCAGAAAAGTAATTCGTAAGGTAAGACACGTGGGTGTAAGATAGAAAAGGAAAAAGTAAGGTAGGTCGGACCATCTGGTTCTCTTTTCGTTCTTCTTTCTTGGTCGAGGGTCTTTTAAATCCACCAGAGACATGCACCTTGAGACCTGTCTAGGCCAAGGACCCTCGAGTCTAAGGGGCCCTTTAAAAATCGACCCTGTAAAACGAAGACACCGAAAACGATCTACGGACCTCACCTTACAACCCTCTTGGCCCTAACTATCGTCCTTGGGGATAACCAACGAAGGCGGTTCCTTTACATTTAAAACTATTATGTTCATTCTTCTATTGCTAAGAATATTTTATATACTGTCGTTAATATCAATTAATTTCAATTAATTTCAAATTTGTCGAACCTATATACCTAGAAACATATTATACAAATTTCACGATAGTTAAAACTTTTTATAAAAGAGAGATAGCTAAATTAATAATCTCGACTCACTTAAGTATTTTTTTCTAAAAAGTAATCTGATTTAAAACAATGCCTCTATTTTCGTCTTCTTTTTGTGTCTTGGTAATTGAGTTTAAGTTTATAAGCTAAATTGCCAATGTTTCTTTTCAATTATGACAAGATCGTTGTAGTAAATAAGAAAAAAGAATGTTTTAAAGAATAGAAAATCGGTTCTATTAAGTTTCTTACTATCCACTCCTTATCTCAATCTTTCTCTTTCTCTCTAACATTGCAATGGCGTGTCCGTCACGTAGGGGTATCTATTAACGTTATATCGGCAAATGTAACGTGAGCGCGTTCCTGGTGTGTTTGCACAGGAGATCAACGTATTGTTGACGATCGACCGACAAAGCCAAATTAATTTGCAAATCGTTCGCGGTTCGACGACGTTCGAAGGGTTTGCCTGTCCTCCTCCTACTGATCTTCTCTCTCTCTCTCGTGAACATCCCCAACGAGTACTTAGGTACATGCATACACGTAAACAGGCGCGCGCATACACACATCTACATTCGTATACTAAGCCTGCTTTATCCGCTCATACGTACACTCGTACCACGTGGAAGAGAAGAAAAGAAGAGAAGAAATCGGAGTAGGTAGGAGAAAGTGCCGGTAGGAGAAAGACGAGGATAGGAAACACTGTCTTCGAATGCATATCGAGAGATTAAAAAAAACTGCAACTCTGGATGGTGCAGCGTCAAGCATTTTTGACCCGTATTTCTCCCGCGATTCTCAGACTCTCCCCGCCCAACGCCACTTTTGTCTTCTTACACACAACGAAAAGAAGAAAGAAAGACAGAGAGAGAGAGAGTGCGAGAAGAAGTGCAATACACCGAAGTAAGCGAGGAAGCGTGTATGTATCGCGTAAACTTCCCGGCTACTACGCGTACGTGCACTTTTGTCCTACGTCACACGTATTCAATAGCAGTAGTAGCAACAGCAGTAACGAAGAATCGTAGAAGAGAAGGAGAATCTCGGTGTTGAGGTGCTTCTCTCGATCGAAGGTACGAGACGAGGAATACAGGGAGTTTCCGACGAGTTGTATAAATGCGAAAAAGAGAGAGAGAGAGAGAGAGAGAGAGAAAGAGAGAGAGAGATAAAGATAGATAGATAAATAGAAAGAGAGGTCGACTCGCTCGAGGTCTCGTGGGGGGACGAGCAGTGACAGTGAGACTTTTATTAGGGAAGGAATCAGCAAGCATGATTATGTACCTTAGAGCATCTCCACCTCGCCAATCACCCTTCACTACCATCGCAAACTGACTACTACTACTACCCTCTACGATTGACGACGACGACGATGACGACGACGACGATGACGACGACGACGACGACGACGACGACGACGGCAACAGTCATCCTTCTCATTCTCTTCCTCATCCTCCTTCTACCCAAGCTCAGGCCCACTCTCCTTCCGCCCCTCGAGCTGCATTGTCAACCTCCTTCCTTCCCCTTTTACCGCGTATATATGCATGCATTGGCGTAGCTTCCTGAGAAATCGACGACTGTCTATAATGGCGGCCTTCTCACGAGATTTTTACTTTTATTGTATAAATATTTCGTCTTACGTGCGATTTTTGACGGCCCGATATTTTCATACTTTTTCAATTTGTTGTTTGATTTTGTTTTGTTTAAACGAGAGAGAGTTATATTCTTTTTACGAATTATTACTTTTGTCGAAACTTAGACGAAGATTGAAAATTATAGAAAATAAGTTCGATCGTTCGTTAGTGGTAATCACGTGATTAAAAAAAAGTGGGTTTATTACTTACGGAGAACGTTGTCGTGGCGGTGCAAAAGATGTCCCCTGAAACATTACAATGAAATTTTGATCATTTCGGTCATTTGATTATAAAATATTGTTGATTTATGTTTTCTTGAAGAATATTATTAGAGTCGTTGATTGTGTGCAAGATACAATTTTTGTTGTTGTCGTATAGATTAAAAAAGTACTCATAGCGATGGCTGTGTAATCGTAAAGATTGAACGGTAGAATAGAAAGTGACGTTCTTTTCTTCGACGAAAAATTCGTCTTCGGTGGGCAAAAATTTTGAAAATGAGACGCGAAGGTGGAAGAGAGACGTCCGCCGCGAAATTTGCATCTCTTCCTCGCCAATGCCGCTCAAGGCGATATTGTCGTTCACAATGAAACCACCCCCCAAAGCTTTCTACCACCCCCGACACATTCTCCCTCAGACAACGCACATGCAACGGACGCGTGTCGCGTTCGAACTTTCGCCTCGAACCAGATACGCACAAAACTTCGCGAATCTATCGTGCAATTGTATTGGGAGATACAAAAAGAACGAAAAAAAAAATAAAAAAAATAAAAATGAAAATAAAAAAAAAATAAAAAAGAAGAATCTTTTCCTTCTTCATCACGGTCGAGGAGAAACGGTGAAATTCCGAAGACTCGTTTCGCACGAACGAAGAGGTGAACGAACGTTGCCAAATTTTGAACGTTTCTTTTTTCTTTGTTTTCATTCAAATAATTTTACACACGTTAATGTTTTAACATTAAATTGCATGCACGATATACCAGGATACAATGAAACGTGCAAATTATTGTATAATATCGCGAATATTACTAATGTTCGTTTCATTTCACATTAATCGATATCCGATAAAAACGTAACGACGTAAATTTATATCACGAAGGATATCACCGAATCGTTCATGAAATAAACAAGAAAGAATCGTATATGCTGTATCGATTATCGATTACTTAAAATCCTTTTACAAACCGTCTTTTATCGCGTTCTATTGGAGAACTAGTGTACGAACTATCTCATTAATAAATTAAATCAGCACCGATATTGATGTTAATGAACCCGTAATTATCGAACAGAGTTAAGATCACGAATTTATATGATTTTCCGAGAAAGAAATTCACTTATAAACGATTTACGTTTATATAAAAATGAATATTTAAAAAAGAAAAACAAAATATTTTCGATAAACGATACATATTATGAATATATAATAGCGTAATAGAAATGTAAATAAGATATATCTAAGTAGATATTTGAAATATTTATTAGTGTGTAACAGTGAAGCAAATTCATTCTTAAGAAAAGGGGAGATTCCAAAAGATAATATCAGATAGTAGGAATATCGAACAATGGAATACGGTTGGCAACTGGAAATTTGTTGAGACGCGTCTCAAGAACAATTCTAAATCTAGTCGAAGCTAGCTATATTGTCTCGATTAAGGATGCACGAAGTAGCGATATAGGGCTGCCGAAAGGGACAGTACGGCGCTAGCTAGCGAAGGAGGTCGGAGGTGCTAGGTGCTACGCTTCGACGCCAGTATCTCAGACAGTTTTGGCCGGCAAGACTTAACAAATAGGCAAAGTTTTGGATGCCGGAGCCAGTGGATTCTCCGCTACTGCGGCAACGACATCCTCTCTCTCTCTCTCTCCCTCCCACTCCTCTTTGTTTCTAAGTTTATGATGTATTAGCCGTGTTCCATCTCTCTCGTTCCCTCCTTTCTTCGTCTCTCACATTCAACCCCGTCTCTCTCTCTCTCTCTCTCTCTCTCTCTTTTTTCCTTTCTCTTTATCCCTTTCATCCTCTCTCTCCCTCTATCTCTCTTTCTCTCTATCCTTCTATCTTAGAGAACGCGTTTGTCTCGCGCTTTTGAGTTGACCAATTTATACGCGACGTAGCATTAAGATACAACGACCATCCGAGCGAATTAACGACGTAACGTTCTCCTAACAGGAGTGATTAAAACGTGGGGAGCGTGACCTTGCGTTCTGGGAAGATACTCTTGCAAAGCGGATCCTGTTAAGTCCCTTGAAACGAGGATAAATTATGTATATCGGTTATCTACAATTATATTATACGTATATTTGAAGTGTCGTAATGTAATTATTACTATATTCAATTGTTATTAATGGTAAATTACATTTGAAATGAATTAAAAATATAATCGATGTATTTTTTAATCATCAATATTATTTATTAATATTATTTAACGCAATATAATATTTTTTCTCGGTTTAAAGGAAATAAGATAATTTTGAAAAGAATAGCAAATGTAATGCGGTATTTATGGGATTCGTTTAAATGCGGTAACACGTATTACGTTATTCACGCGAAACAATCTTCTTTTGAAAAAAATGTGGTCAACATGGAAAACGAATAAACGTGAAAACGCGCACGAAATTTCGATTTACCACCAAGCAAGAAAAATTATTTCAGCTCTAACCGTTTTTCCCGGATATGTTCGTTCGATTATTCGTCAGAAAAATGCACAGAATTTCGGACTCGCTGAACGTAACAGAATACGCGCGTTACAGAATTGTAACGAGATCTAGAGAGTACTTGGAGCTCGTAACGTGCGTAACGGACATCAAACGTTTACGGCTGGTGTCTAGTGATTCACAGAATACCTTCTATTTTTTTCCAATCTTTTTTCTCTCTTTTTCTTTCTCTCTTTCTCTCTCTCTCCCCCCCTCTCTCTCCCCCCTTCTCTTTGCTCTTTTCACTCGCTCTTTAATTATCCTATAATATTAAGCAAGCAGATTTTGTGTAATATATTAACCAGTTTAATTTAAAAAAAAAAGGTTTAGAAATTCATATGTATTGGGATGAATCGACTATTTCCGGGTACAAAAATTTTCCTAGGTATCTAATTTTGGATTATTCATTTATGGAGTTAAATAATTAACTAATTAATATATGATTTCAATACTTTATACGCTACAATTATCAACGTTACACTACCTGGCTCTATATTTGCCAAACTTCATACAATTGTGAATTAATAACAGATAAATTATTATTTTAAATATTAAAAAGAAATAAGCTTATTATATTGTATATATAGGAGTAGCGTGAACAGGAATTTTATATAGCTAATAGTGATAGACATTTAACCGAGGAAGAAATTTTTGATCTTCTCGGTACTTATTTCATATATTATTAAGGGCTAAACTACTTTTTGTCAAATGAAGTTTATTTTATACTTTAAACTTGTTTCTTATGTTTCTTTTCTTTTCTAAAGTGTTACGTGGAGTAAGTGTGAGAAGGTGTTCGAAAGAAAAGTGACTTGAACCCGTAACAAGAAAACTATATATATATATATATATATATAGTATATACAATATACTAACTACTAAATATTACAATATACTAAAAATTAACAAGAAAACTATATATATATATATATATATATATATATATATATAACAAAATAAAAATAAACGTATGTTTAATTTGGAAGTCATTAGGTACACGTAGTAAAACGTTATAAAAAATTCATTCGATACATGTGACTAGGTTGAAAAGTTTTCAGCTCAACATAAAAACAATTTTATTTCGGTCACACACACACAAACTAACTTTTTTATTTAAAAAAATAAAAAAAAGGAAGAATTTTGTTCTTGTTCTCTAGGCTCAAAACTTATCAACCCATCCTCGTATATATTATAAATACTACGCGTATTAGTTGTGTACTCATAAAAAACATTTTCATAATAATCTTATATATCACTCTATTTATCAATCTATTTATTTACCTCTATTTTTTTTTTCTCTCTCTCTCTCTCTCTCTTTTAGCACGTTCCAACTGAGAATTAATAAAGCTCGCTCTCATGGCTCGACCAGTTCACGACGCGACGTCGTTCGCCAGAAGAAAATCAATACCCGATAGGAGCGTTCCCGAAGGTCCGCTTATACTCGTCGTGCTATCTCGCTTTTATCTCGATCGTATCTTACATATTGGCGTGCGTCGCGAACGTTTCCATCTCTCTCGAACGTTGGTGAACGAGAAAGCGTTTACATACGAGGAAGCGTTCCAGTAACAACCGCCCACACCCTTCTACCATGTCATAGTTTGCTCGGTTGTTCGCGAGCCTTCTCAGGGTGACAGATGGCAGACCGGTAGACAAAGAACTTGGTCGACTGCTTTTCGTGCTGTTGCGTAACTCAATAACCAGGAACGCGAGTCAATCGTTTCTACTCGACGTCGACGACTACGAGAAGAACGACGATGTCGTCGTAGTAGAAGGGCCATCCCCGCAGCGGTATCAAAAGGACGATGGGGTTGAAAATCAAATCCCATCGCATCGATGGAAATCTTTCTACGGAGAAGATCTCATCTTTCTCTTATTCTCCCTTTTCTCTTTCTCTCTCTCTTATTCTCCATCTTCTATCTACTTCTTTATTTCTCCCTCCTTTTCTATACTAGTCTCCCCACCGTTTCCATCATCAATCAAATATTCCCTCTCTGATATAACGTCAAACCACGTCGAACACGATCGAAGGGTACTTGGTTAGTGTTCCACGATGATTAGACGATTAAGAGTTCCCCTCTAATCGCACGTTCGTGCCGGCTCTTGGATATAGAATTAGCTTTAATACCAGTACAACAAGATATCTTCTTGTTTCATTTAAACGTATAAGAATTTTTCTATCGTATACATCATATCGATTGAGAATTCATATATTGTCTTTTTTTTTTTTTTTTAATTAATAAATATACATAGTTTTAATTGTTTATGTGATATATTATTGAAAAATAGTTGATCGTAAAACATTCTTTTAATGTTGTAAAGTACGTAACAGTTTCATTGTATGTATGAGATTAATTGGAAAATAAGTCGAAATATCATCACGATTAGCAATAATAAATTTGTTGGAACGCAGTTAGGAGGAGCATCGTCTTAGAACGATCAAGGCAGAAGCAGGCGTGATAGGCGCATGTGCGCAAAAGAGGAGAGGGGGTGGCACGTCAACGGATATACAATAGACACGTGCCAGAATCTAATCATCGCAGAAAACCCGGGGCTAGAGCT